TCATCACTGTGTCTGTCACGCGACTCTGTTCCCCTTTCAGGCTTGAACTGATGGTAAAACTAATGACATTATTTACTGTCTTTACATTTATTTTGAAAGATGAAGCTCGTGATTATGGTAAGGGGCCTTACATTTCCGACGAGTGCTTGCGGTGTTTGGCCAATCACAATGCATTGAGTCAGCTGGCCAATCAGAGCAGACTGCGTTTGTCGGAAGGAGGGACTTTGTAGAAAACTAAGCATTTGAGAGAGGCGGGGCATAGAGGACCTACAATAATGTAAAGTATTTGAAAAATAATGTGTTTTTTGAACATTAAAGCATGTCAACATATTCTGTTACACCAAATACACAAAATAATGATCTTTAAAAAGAGCAGCTCTCTTCACATCCTCCCTGGCACCATTGATGTTTAAAGATCCTAGCTTTACTTCACACATATTAGATGAAGAATTGCATTGGGATTGCCATTTAAACAAGCCAGAGAAATTAACACAGAAGAGAGAGAAGAACAAAAGAAAATTAACCATCATTGGCTATTTGTGATCTAACTTTGAGCATCAATTTCTTAAGACGATAAATTTCTTGAACACTGAAAGTAAACTGATCAGACAGATCAGTATTTTTCATAAACAGCTTGACTGAAGAATCGAGAAACATCTTTAAATCCGGGAAAAAATCATCAACTCTAACTGATCTCATGCCTTTAGTGTCCTGTAAGAATGAACAGAGTCTAGTGAAAGGGTAAACGCTCTCCGCTTCCACCTGTGTGTCAGCACTAAACTCACATACACTCTCCTGCGTGTCCATCGAACTCTCTTCAGACTGCGAGCCGTTCACTAAAGTCAACTTTGATACTTTACTAGCCTGATCTGCGTTCATCGTGTTATCTAGCTATTTTCTTTTGATAGACTGTTTAGCAAGATCGCTATCACACACAACATTCTCCTCATCAAGCAGCGCTGATTCAGCTATTCTAGTAACAATATGAACCGTATTAGCGCCTACCTTTGGGTCTCTTTGAACTTCCAACTCTCTTTGCTTGCTCGTTAATTCCTCCATAACTTCCTTCTCGGGATTACTATCGTCGCTTTCCTCTCTTGCAGTTCGTGTATTTCCCTTTGTTGTAACTGAAGCGGCAACTCCGCTTGTACTCGGCTGTTCCACCTAACGTAACCTCTCTGGGCACGACCGGATCAGATGGCCTACAGTTCCGCACCCGAAGCACATCATCATCTCTGATGTTACATGTACTGTGTAATCATAACCATCAATCTTAAACTTACACCAAGTTCAGTTCCTCATCATTGCTTTTAAGCACCATGAGTACCTGCCTCCTAAAAGACATAACATGTTTTAAGTGAGGGGATTTACAGCTCATGGGGATCAATTTAATCGGAGATACTAGCTGACCATATCTCTGTAACTCTTTTGCCAAAACTTCATTTTTGAGAAAAGGAGGAACATTAGAGATGATGATTTTTTTAGCAGGATTCACTAAAGACAGAACAGGTATGAAAGTACCTTGAATTACAACTCCATTCTCAATTAACTGATTCGCTTTGTCTATGCTATCCAAAAATATCACAACAGCGCTGTTCATCCGCAAGGCGGATTTGATGCTTCCATAACCGACCTCTTCTCCGACCGCTAAACTGCAATCCTCTACCGAACAACCGGCCGGCGGAGACAGCTTAATAGCGTGCCGGTACGTGAGCTTAAACAAACCGAGCTGATCGCCCACAGCCATGCTGCAGCCGCCGCTCTACAAACAACTCACAATAACCTACACTAAAGATCAAACAAATACAAAAACAAAACAAAAAAAGAGAAAAGTTTAGAAAACTCACTCACAATACCACGCGCCCTCCAACGCACTCACCACGCTCAGTCTCACCATTCACTCAGAGAGAGAGAGAG